TTCACTGAGTTTATAGAGTAAGTAGTTCTACGTATAATATTACTTTATAGTATATAGTGGTACATAAATTAATTATAAAAAGCCAATGATTTTTCAAGTTAGTACTTTATATACTGGAAAAATAAAAGGCAACTGAGAATCTTAAATCTGCTTTTGGCTGTGCTTTCATGAAGAACTTTTATTTTATGGGGATTTTTGGACAAAAGTGATTTAGAGGATCCTTTTAGAAAAAGTTATTAAGAATTTGCTTTTTACAAAAAGCTTGTATTTATAAATGTTTTTATTATGCAGTCCTCAGGAAATTTTCTGATGGAATTTCAAGTGAAAAATGTTCCTTCAGAAAGAATTGCAACTCAGAAGATCCTGTCTGTGATAGGAGAATGCCTTGACCACTTTGGCCCTGGTTGTGTGAGTGTACAAAAAATACTAAATGCTCGCTGTCCACTTGTGAGGTTCTCACACCAGCCCTCTGGATTTCAGTGTGACCTGACTACTAACAACAGGTATGATCTCTTAAGTTTGTTGTCTTAAATGTGAGTGTTATAAGGTATTAGCTTCAAATGCAGTAAGATACTAGGTTCGTTTTTATTGTATAGAAACAGTGGCTTTGAACTCTTTGAGACAAAATGCTTTAATAATAACTTTTTAAGAATTCAAACATTTGGATCGGAAATTAGGAAATTCTTTCTTATATTATACCTATTGATAATTGGTATTCCTAAACAAAATGTTAGGATATTATGTTAAAACACTGACATACTTAACATCTTCTGAGAAGAAATACATTTCATTGTTCTTACTTGTGTAGCCTGATAGTGTGAAAAGTATCTATTTGTAGTGTAAGTCGTCCAAGTATACTTACAAAATAAAATAGCAACTTGAATTTGACCTCTGAATTGCCTCGTTATAGTCAACTTGTGTACTGAACAAGTGTGATTTTTGCTTAGGTCAGAAAGTGGTCTGATGAGCTTAAGACTGGACGGTTTTGGTTCAGCTGTATTTGCATTATATTCTTCTAGCAACCTGTTTGCTTGAAAAAATGGGAGAATAACAAGTTCTTTCATACTCTGATTACTTTCGCTGGGTTCACAAGAGGGAAAATTTTTTTCAGCTGAGTTTATTTCTTAACTAGTATTCTCACTGCATCAGTTTCATTTCACTATGTTATCTGTTAGACAAATAATCATAACTGAAAATATTAATAGATTCAGAAAATCCAATGTAGGGCAATTTTGATTAAACTTGAGTGTTTACTGACACAATCCTAACTACTTCCAGATTCCTCTCACGGAGTAAGGTTTTTGTGATTTCTTGCCAAATTTTAATGTGAAAATAAAAATATATACTGCACTTTCCATCATTATTATATTTTCTTTGTGGTATATAAAATAGGATAAAATGAGATTTATCTTTATAATAGTGTTATTTTCTTTGTCTTTTGGGACAGGTTTTTAAGAAGTTGTTTTAACATGCTTTTTTCAGGTTTTCCTACTCTTGCAGTATTTCTTTATATCAGATACCTTGCACTATTTGATATTTACTTTTAGGTAATTTAGCTTCATTTACATATATAAGATATTTAATTACTGTGAATTTCTAATTTGCTGTTTCTTCTAATCTCTTTAAACTCAGGGTGTAAATGCCATGATGGTTTTAGAGACAATTTTAAGTCGATACTATTAAATGATTTTGCGCCCTCTGTTGGTTCTTTAGGAAATTACAAGACACATTTTGACCAGCAGGAACTTTGAATTTGCATTTTACCATTTCAATTAGGAAACTTACTGAAAGTAGATTTTGAAGTTTCTTAACAGGCACTTTATCTTCACGGGTTTTTTTTTGTTTGTTTTTACTTTGCATTTTAACATTTTGATTAGGAAACTTACTAAAAGTAAGTTTTGAGATTTCTTAACAGTCACTTTATCTTCATGGGTTTTGGTTTTGGGGTTTTTTATTATTATTATTTTTTTGGTGGTGCCATGACTTGGATGATTTCTATAAATATTAGGGTTAAGTAATTTTGCCTACTTTACATACTATAAGAATTTTCCTACTAAATACTTTCTTGATGATATGATTAGGATGTTTTCTTCTATGTTTAGGTTAACTTGTCTACCAAAGAACTGGGTAACCAGGGTGTGAAAACGAGCAGCAAAGACTCATTTACAAATGTGTCTGTGTCTTCATTGTTAGTTATCAAGAGCCCTGTGTGTTTCACTTATTATTTAAACCATGTTTAGGAATTTTGATTTAAAAATTCTGTGTTTTTGAGGCTGGGTATGGTGGCTCACACCTGTAATCCTAGAACTTTGGGAGGCTGAGGCAGGAGGATTGCTTGAGCCCACAAGTTTGAGACCAGCCTGAGCAAGAGTGAGACCCTGTGTCTACAGAAAAAAATAGAAAAATTAACCAAGTGTGGTGGCACACACCTGTAGTCCCAGCTACTTGGAAGGCTGAGGCAGGAAGATGGCTTGATCCCAAGAACTGGAGCTTGCAGTGAGCTACGATGACACCACTGCATTCTACCCAGGGTGACAGAGTGAGACTTTATCCCAAATAAAAAAAGGAAATTGAACCCCACCTCACTCCCTCCTTCATTAAAAAAGAAGAAAAATAAAGGATGTTTTAACGGGAATGAATGTATTTGATAGTCAACCAGTCATGTAAAATTTTATATTGCAAATACATATTACTTTGATTATCTGATCATGGTGTTCTGAATACATTCGGATATAGTAAGATGTTCAGATAAATTTTCAGGTGTATGTTTTATTTTACCCTTGGATCATAATTTGGGGATTTGAAAGTTCTTTTTCTTCTTCCTTTTTGAAGGATTGCCTTGAAAAGTTCTGAACTCCTTTATATATATGGTGCCCTGGACTCAAGAGTCAGAGCCTTAGTGTTTAGCATACGATGTTGGGCTCGAGCACATTCATTAACGAGTAGTATTCCTGGTGCGTGGATTACAAATTTCTCCCTTACAATGATGGTCATCTTTTTTCTCCAGAGAAGATCACCCCCTATTCTTCCAACACTAGATTTGCTAAAAACCCTAGCAGGTAAGACTAGAAGCAGTATTCACTATTTTCTCTTTCTGGTGTTATGAACGAATATAGTTATCGTACGTTATCAAAGCCATGTGTATTTGTTTATTAGTCATATAATTTATCTTGGTTTTTAAAGCTGTGTGAATCTAAAATTTAAGTGCTTTTTGTTTTTTTAAATGCCCACCAGGGGTTATGAAAGCAGATGATTTATGAAACTAAGGCCTTTAGAATTTTTTGAGAGTTCTGTCTAACTGTGTCAGTTGGCGGGGTTCTTTGCAACAGTCATGGGACCCTTGAACCCTCGCCCCAGGTTGACCACATCTAGAATGACCGTGAAGGAAACATTTCCCAGATACAGCTTTTGACTAGATCACAGTCTCAGAGATGGCCTTTCAAATCTGAACCTATCTCAAGACTTATATTAGAGATACCGTTCATGATGTTTTCAAGATTCTAAATGTGTTAGTTAAAAGTTTATAAGCAATCTTAGGCACATTATTTTATATTTAGCATACTATTTATATTATAAATGAATTGAAATTTTGATAGCCTGCTGGAGAAGATACTAAACTCCTGCAGTTCTGAATGTTCAGTGGAAGCTAATTAAGGGATACATACATTGGAAATGCCTGTGTGTTCTGTCTGCTACTCATCCTGTATGTTGGTGCCAGATAACTCTTTTAAATGCACTCCTGAATCTTCCCAGTTTAAAGTAAGCTCAAAAGGGATTTTATTCCTTATAGAATAATCCTCAAACTGTACTTAGCTGGGTATTTAAAACCTTTCACTATCTACAACCCGATTTTCTAACTTTTTCGCCACTATTCCTCTTCATGTGTACCCACATTCCAGCCAAAACTGGGATTGCTCTCCTAACGTTTCGTTTTAGCTCCTTTGTGCAGAGTTTGCTTTTCTCCTTGGAATGCACTTTCTCTTCTTTCAGACTAAATTATTTCTTCTGTGCCACCTTCACTTATTATCCAAATTAGAAGGAATCTTTTCCTGTGAACACTGTGTTGTTATAGTTTGAAACTGAGCTTTAAAAATCCTAAATGTGATAGGTTAAGAGAAAATGGGACGTTTTCAGCTGGCTGGAGTGAGAAAACCTCATGTATCTCACTTTTGAGGTTAAAATAAAGGGCAACATCCATTCCTGTGCTCATTTCATCCCTTGGTGTCATTCATTCAGTAAATATTTATTGATAACTTACTATGTGTCAGGTGTTGGTTTTGGAGCAGTGAGGATATGGATGGTCTCAGATAGCTTGCAGTCTAGTAGAGAGGAAAGTCATAGAATTACAGGCAGATCCTCACTGATAAGCAACCTGTAAGTACCACTTCTGTTCCCTCCTGCTGTGTGCACTGATGCCCAATGCTGCTCTCACAGAAACCACTGGAGGGCACAGTTATGGAACTTGTAGATTTCAGAAGCTAAGAAAGAATAGAAACTGTGAAAAGGAGGCAGAATTGAGGCAAGTTTATGTTAGGGGCAGACCGCTCCTAAGCGTCTCGATTGCGCTCTTTCAGTCTTATGAGTACTAATGCTTTTGTTACGTGGACACCTTTTATAATGCTCAAGTCGGGGCTTTCAATGTGCCCATCACCTGAAGAGCGTTCATTTTACTGGATAAGTTTTTAACCCCTCTCCCCTTCCTTCCTCCTTCCGTCTTGATTTCCCATGACCTTTACATCTCTTTGTGCCTGTCGATTAGCTCCCACTTATTAGAGCACATGTGGTGTTCGTTCTTCCATTCCTGAGATACTTCACTTAGGATAATGGTCTCCAGTTCCATCCAAGTTGCTGCAAAAGACATTATTTCATTCCTTTTTATGGCTAAGTAGTACTTCATGGTGTGGTGTCTGTATTTTCTTAATCCACTCATGAATTGATGGGCATTTAGGTTGATTCCACATCTTTGTAGTAAGTTTTTCAAAAGATAGACAAATGGCCAACAAACATGAAGAAATTCTCAACATCACTAATCATCAGGGAAATGCAAATTAAAACCACAGAGAAATACCACCTTACCTCAGACTTACTAAAAAGTCAAAAAACAATAGATGCTGGCATGGATGCAGAGAGACTCTTGGTAGAAGTACAAATTAGTACAACCTCTATGGAAAACGGTATGGAAATTCCTCAAAGAAATAAATATAGATCTACCATTTGACCCAGCAATCCCACTATTGAGTATCTACCCAGAGGAAAAGAAGTCACTTTATCAAAAACACTAAGCTAATTTTTTTTTTGAGATGGAGTCTCGCTTTTGTTGCCCAGGCTAGAGTGAGTGCCGTGGCATCAGCCTGGCTCACAGCAACCTCAAACTCCTGGGCTCAAGCAATCCTTCTGCCTCAGCCTCCTGAGTAGCTGGGACTACAGGCATGCGCCACCATGCCCGGCTAATTTTTTCTATATATTTTTAGTTGTCTGATTAATTTCTTTCTATTTTTAGTAGAGACGGGGTCTCGCTCTTGCTCAGGCTGGTTTCGAACTCCTGAGCTCAAACAATCCGCCCTCCTTGGCCTCCCAGAGTGCTAGGATTACAGGTGTGAGCCACCGCGCCCGGCCCACTAAGCTAATTTTTAAAATTTTTTGTGGAGGTGGGGTCTCAGTGTGTCGTCCAGGCTGATCTCAAACTCCTGGCATCAAATGATCCTCCCTCCTTGGTCTCCCAAAGTGCTGGGGTTAGAGGTGTGAGCCACTGTGCCTGGCCCCAAATCTATTTTAAAATAAATTTAATTTCTTTCATGTCTTATGGTATCAAAACAGACAAAACCAGTTTTGGAATTCTTTGATATTCCACTTAAAAATACCAAGTTGATTGTTTTAAAATTGGTGTGTTAGTTTTTAAAAATGGTAAGAGAAGATTTTAGGCTGTGTGTTACAGTTGTTTGTCTGCACATTGTAGGTGTCAGTTGCCAATAAATGCAAAGCAAAATTTGAATACTTTGTGCTTACATTTTTACCTTTGGTTTTTGAAGTTTCTGTAAAA